ATGCCATAACTGTTTTAGATGTTAAATATTCTTGCTCTTTGTATAAGTGTTGGTTGAACCTTCAAATATTAAGGATTGTCTTGTCGTCTATCATCTCATGAAAGGATCAGAGGAATTTGATACAGGGAGTGGACTGTTTTCCATTTTTTTCCTGAACCTGTCAGCGTTTGCAGGCTTTGAACCAACTTTGTTCTTGTAGTGGCCCTTTTTTTTTTTTAAAAAGTATGTTTAGGCTGGGAAACAGGTGAAAAATCACATACTGTGTACATGTCTAAATAAATATTTTGCACTGAAATGAGTCTCTGGGCTGAGCAGGAGTTTGTTTTCCTTTGTTTTCCATTGGATTTACTTTCTGAAACATTGTGTCTGCACAGGCTTGCTTTTACACAAACAGAAGCATGTCTACCCCTCTGTTGAACAGGAGTGATTTGGTGTTATTAACAGTACTAAACTTAAGTAGCGGCTTTCATTCTAGGTAAATCCCTCCTCCCTTTGTTATTCTGATTTCTTAGAGTCATTACTTTTTAAAATACAAGATCAAACCCATTTTAGGATTAACTATACCTACCTATGACATTGCTTTTAAATTTTATTTTTATTCTGAGCTGCATATAAATCTCAGATGCCAGATTACGTTCAGGTTGAACCGTAGCAAACGGTTGCAAGCTCTGTTGCTGTCAGAATGATCAGCTGAAGCACATGCTGGCCAACAGGCTGTTTATCTTCCATTTCATCTGTTTTTAAATTGAAGTAATATTTCCAAATAATACTCTTACATTCTATCTCTATGGGATGCTGTGAATAAAGGCAAGTTAGTGAAAATAAATATTTAAGCAAAATACTACACGTTGTATCTAATCCAAAAACAATTCTAAAGAGGAACCTGCAAGCTGGAACTGTATTTTACACATTTAGAATAGAGTGGACAAAAAGAGATGTAAGCTGCATATCAGTTTATATACTTTCTATTTAGAACAATATCTTTAGTATTTAGAAATGTGTCTGTCAGTTTTGTGGTGTTTGGATGTTAAGTGGCTTTGCTTTTGGCTTCTGGAAGGCTCTGTGGCATAGCTAAGGAGCTCATCGAAGAGAAACACCTTTGACAAACGTCTGAGCTTTGGGGTGGAGAGTGAAATTTGAGCAGTATTTCCCCATATTTGCATACATCTTATGTCAGATAAAATACAAAGCGTGAGTTTTAAGGTATATTCTTGTCAGTACAAAACTATCACTGTGTTTTTAATCTCTGTTTTGGTTTAGGAATTGACCATATGCCCAGTCACCTTCCCGCAGGAGCTGGGCAGCTCCTCTTCTTGTCAGTAGGGTCAAACAGGCTGCTCAAACATGAAATCAAATAGTCTGCCTCAAATCTGATGACTTGTATGGTGCATGGTGGGTTGTTGCCCTTTGTTTTGGATCTAGAGTGGCTGGCCTGTGCTGAGTTGGAGGCTGGGGTGCTGAGGCTCCCCCTCTGGGGCACGGGGCCTTCTCTGCTCTCCTGCAGCCGGAGTTTCCTGTGCAGCTACTGGTCTGGTAGGTGTCTGGTTTCACTTTGAGTGCGGCCTGCGCCGTTTGAGTGCTTTGAGAATTCTCTGTGATTTAATGTGGCTTTTTAGCAATTTTCCTTCATATCAGAGGTAGAAGTTACAAGTGCCTAACAACAAAGGAACAATTTATTGCACCTGGAACTATCCTTTGCTGCTTAAAAGTCCAGGGCTGTTTTTCACGTAGGCATTATAGGTATCCCTAGACCTTGAATAATTGCTGTTACTAAACTTAAAAAATAATGAAAATCAGTCTGGAAAATAAAGGAGAAAGATGAAAATGCCCTGTTTCAGTGTAACAATACTTTTTGTGTCAAGTAAATGAAGATACTTGTTTAAAGTGGTTTTGCTTCTATATTTTGGTCTGTATGGATGTCTAAGAGACCAAGGTTACTTGGAGAAAATTAGAGAATTAAAAATAAAGACTTATTTGTCCAGTGCTTATTGCAACGAATTTTTTTTTTTCCTCTGTGAAGGTGATCCTTCCACTTGAGTTTGAAGTTAAGAAGCACATCTACTGCTTGTGTAATGTGCAAACCAAATAATTGTGTTCGTAGATGAGGAGGGTGGCGAATGCAATAGCCTAATAACTTTTTGCAGTTGGAGACCTAAATTCATATGGATTATACTGAAGAATGCTGTGGAAATAAATTATCATATGAACAGCAATATAAACAGGTATGTGAAGCATTGATTCAGGAAAGACTTAATATGAGCTAACAAAAAGGAGCTGTAAATCAAGGTTGAGGTATTTTAGTAACAATTAAGTGCATTTTCTTGCAGAAATTTTGCTGGAGAGACAATAAGCTTCTATTAATCCAACCAGTGTAGCTGAAAAGCTGATTAATATTTGAGTCATTTTACTTTCAGTGTCATGAGGATTTTTTGAACGCATTATTACAGCAGTGACAATAAAAAGACACGTAAATATTATATCAAAAATGAATGGGCCTCTTTAATGAAAAATACTTCAGGGGGATCTGTTTTCCAAATTTGTGTTACTTTCTGGAAGTAATCACTTCATTGCACAGCATATGCCAGCAGCATGAGAAATCACTGTGATCTATTAGTGATAATGGGAAAATAATTTTTGGAGTACTGTATGGCAACTAAGGATAACAAATAACACAGTACCAAGGAACGTGAATGTGTTTCTTTGGTAACTAATCCGACATTTCAGTGCAAGTGAGAACTTGTGGAATTTTAACAGACTTCAAAACCAGAGTGCAAAACGCTAGATAGCCATAATGTTATTTGCCATGCTTAATGTATTTTTGATATGTGAGTTACATGCTGTATAAGTTTGCCTGTTTAAAAGCTAAAACCCTGAGGCATTTATCTTTCAGATTGCTCTGCTTGTGTTTAGGATAGGATTATGTAAACTGAAGGCATATATGCAGGTTTTGTTTTTGAGATAAGAATCTACATTCCAGCAACTGGTAATTATGCAATAAACAGTTAACTATTCTAATAAATGCAGTGTTTTTATTGAAAGACAGATTTCATTTTTGAGGTTGTGGTTGCATTAGCTATGGCCTGGGAGTTTTGTTGTTTGGTTTTTTGTTTGTTTGTTTGTTTGTTTGTTTAAAAAAAGGGCATCATATACTTCAAGTATTCTTATAATGCTCATAATGACTAAAATTTTGAGATTCTATAATTAACAAGGTTTTTGAGATACTATGGCTAGGGATTATTTTCTATCCTAGTATTAATTCCATCATCCTCCCTCTTGTGGAGTCTTTGTCTCTATGTGAGACAAAGTAAAAGTTCCTTCTGCATAGAAGTTGCTTTTATCATTCAGAGTAATCTGCCTCTTGTCTACAAAATTGTCTGTTGGGCTGTCTTGTGGTCTTTGTGTGATTCTCTCAATGGTAGTTATTGCTGTGAAAGATGTTCAAGTGCCTGGTCAGTGAATGCAGCTGAGAAAAGCAGTACCTGAGATTGTTTTTTCAAAGGATTTTCCTTCTTCGGGCTCGTGCCTTAGTCTGGCACACTGACTATAGGAGCACAGGAGCATTACTCTGAATTACTTGTGCCACAAAAAGCCAAAACAGAAAATATATCCCCTGTTAGGGTATCTGAGACACAGAAGTTAATTTAGAAGTCTAAAATGTTGTGTCCTTTATAGGCAGGCTCTTGCTAGTTCATAAGGTGTGGAGGTCACAGTGCTCTTAACAGGTTCATCAGATCTCCACTGCCTCTGCTTGTTATTCTAATGAAAACAAAGCAGATCCAGTAGTGTTGCCAATTTTTATATTATTTGGTGACTTCTATAAAAGTTTCCCATGATGTCATGATTCCTGGCATCAAGTGTTCAGTTCTTCCCTTATGCAGAGTAGCTGCTGACCCCTTATCCCAGGGGATGAAAGGGCATAAGGGAGGTCTCCCGTAGAGCAGTCAGCAGGGAGGGCTGTGAATTTTGCTATTTGGAGATTGTTGGCATCTATTTACAATTGAATTTTGAACTTAAAGCAATCTCACATGTGCACTGGAGAAAGTACTGGCTACCTGTAAACTCAACATCTAAAAGACAAGAAGGGAAGATAAATGCTTACTTGGTCATGCTGGCTTTAATTTTTTTTCCAAGTGTACAGAGCTGTTTCTGTGGAAGCTTGAAAGCTTTGGGATTTTGTTTTGCTTTTCCCTCCTTTTTTTGCCTTTTAAGTTGGAAATCATTAGTACTTCTGGCAGGTTCCTAATGTTGCTTGTTGTTTACAGTGCATTTCTTTGTCTTCTGCATTGTTGCTTTTGCATGGACCAAGACAGTGTGTATTTTCAGTTTGCTTCCATTAAGCCTGATTAAAACATCATGTTAATTTAGATGACTCATTCCAAAATGTTAAATAAAAAATGTGGATCATTAACTTACATTTAATGCTAGGAGGTCTGAAGACTGAGATCGGTTAGTTGCTAGTGTTCTTACTGTCAATTTTGTTATATTCATGACAAAATTAACATAATCTTTAAAAAACTTTTGCTTCCGCAGCTTCATAGTCATTCCAGCCTTTGTATTAAAAGTGGTCCTGTAAGTTTTAATGGAGTCAGAAACTGAAATGTTGAGGTGTGTAAGTGTTTGTAGTGATCTGCTTTGCAGGCTTTACATGAGTAAGTCATTACAAAAAGTGTCCATCCAGTGTTTCTTACAGTTGAACTGGAAAGACCTCTGTCTTTCTGACCTAGTCTTTTGTAGACCTTTCCACGATCAACTTTTATTTTTGTACGGTTGTTGAGGGTTTTTTCCACTTTGGCTTCTTAGATTTTGTCGTGGTTTGGGTTGGTTTGTTTTTTGTAATCTGCTTAACATTTTTAGTGATGTCCTAGCACAGCTACATCTGTCAGATCTTGAGCTTGTTTTCTGCAACTTCTTGGCTTGTAGTTGGGATTTCATAGTTGTGCTTTTTTTTCTATAGCTGTATATATTTGTTAATAATGTTTAATTTCTTCCTTAGCTTAAGCTATGGAGGAGGACATTCATCACATTCAGAAACAGATCTTCTTCACAGACAGACATACACAGCTTCTCATCAGCTTCCTGGATACTCTGCTACACACCATTCTACTGGTAACTGTCCATATCATGAGATTACTGCTTAAATAGCTAAAGGAAAAAAGAACAAACAACATGTTACATATTTTAGATTCAAGTTGATTAATTTTATAAGCAGAGGGAGTTTGTCGTGCAGGTGGTGTCAAGTGGCATTAGAAAAGCTGGGTTTGTAGTATAAAGCCATCAGTTGTTAGCTTTTATCAGAACGTCATTATGTAGAAAGGAAAATGAGGGGTGTTATGCTCAATAACGTTGTTTTTTAAAGAAACTGCATTTACTCATTAAAATACATCTTTTCAGGATTTGGCCTATGCATAAGAGCCAAATGATAAACATGCCTCAAAAGCCAGCTGTAGAAATTATGCCAGTTGTTGTAGACTAATGCAAATAGCAAAACTAATTCAAGCTGGAGCACACTGTTGCTAGTACTTGTATGTGCAAACTAAGACATAGTGCTGGGGGAAATGTTAAAATTTATTTTAAATACAGTAACAGATTAGGCTGTATTACATCTGCATCAGGATCTATGATCGTGATGATATCCTGTGCCCATGTTGGGAGAAGACAGGGCATGACCTCTTCATGCTTGCTTTGCAACCCAGTTTCTAAGGAAAGACTTGAGGTCATGTGCAAGCTGGAATCTGCAGACTTTGGCCAGGTCCTTGATCAGGACATTGTTGACATAATTTCAGTTACTCAAAACTCTGGATCTCTCCAGTGCTTCCTGTTGAGCCCCCTGCCATTGAAAGGTGTGAGCAACAGGGAGTGCAACCAAACCCCCTTTTCTTGTGCCAGTCCTACAGAGAAGTCTGAACTGCTACAAGCTGGCCAAAGCAGGAGAAGGTTGACGCAGAGAAGTTGAACCCATTGCGGAAGGCATTCTGAATGTTTAAACAGTTCATGTAAAAAAATGGAAACATGAATTTTCAGATGGAGGATTTTATTGGTGTACCTGGATATTGTTTTTAAGCCTCATATTTGACATATATTTAATAGTAGATTTAAAAATGTATACTCAGGTTCCAGTTTACAATTCCAACAGTGTAAAGCAGTTAAAACACTGAAAAATCAATGTACTTTAATATTTCTAATGTTTCATAGGTTACTTTTAGTGAATTATTAATGTATATCCTTGTTACTTGATTGAGCTTCTTCAAGTTCATCTGAATTGTCTGTTTTGTTTCATTTCCCTCCACCCTCATCTAGGTCTTTCAGGAGTATTTGATACCAGTATGCACGGTGCTGGAAGTAACACTAAGGAAACTTCTTCAGTTATGAATTTTCTCTCTGCTATTGAGTCTCGTACCGCTCAGGCAGTCTCTTCAGGATCTACCCTTTTACCACAATTCAGGGCTCCTTCCTGGCAGACAGGTGAAAAAAAAAAAAATTACTCTTGAAATAAAACTTTGACATGATTCTATTGAATGTTTGGCAGAATTTGAAACAAAAATGTCCTGACTAATTGAAAAGGCTGCATGTCTTATATCTCTTTTCCATATTGGTATTAAAAAATCTCAAAATTCATGCAATTGTATTAGCAGAAATATATATTAGGAGAATTATATGAGCAGAAGCTGTTATAAGAAGCTTAGAAGGAGTTTAGATGTATAGGATATTATGTTGTGTATCTCACTAACACCATAAGCGTTTTTAGGTAGACTACCTGTGCACTCCAGCACATCTTTTATTCTTGATCTCTATTCCCTGTCATAGTTCTTCTGTGATATTACTGCTAAAAGTCTATGGATAACTTTAGCCCCTTTGTAGACGGAAGTAATGAGCAAGGTGTTCTCAAAAAGAAGTTCTGAGGTGCATGTTGCATAGAAATAAGACATCTAATTTACAGATAAAACATGCTGACTTTTGTGGCTGTCTGAATGCTTTCTGTAAACCTCATCTGTCTGTTAAGCCTTCTGTGCAGAGCAGGAAACTTTGCATATTTTGAGCTTGCTATAGACAGCCATACCAAGATAAGTGTTGCTACTGCATCTGTGGGTAGCATCAAGTTTTGGTTAATCTTTGGTGGTGATTATGCAGCTGTGCAGTGAATCAGACCTATTCACTGAGCTGACAGAAAACACTTGGGTGGGTTTTTTTCCCGTTGGTGGGATAGTTTTCCACTGTATCAGCAAGCTGATCTGTGTCTCAGTGCAGCTGTATTGTCACTGGTTCTGATTGAGTGAGGAGGTATAAGGTGGGAAGAGGGGAAAGTTGAACAATCCTTTTGTTGACAGTTTGCACTTGGTCTGTTAAGTGTAATGTGCAGCTGCGTTCTGTGAAGAGTTACTCAAAAAGTTGAGAAGAGAGAATGTGGCTGTTTATTCACCATGGGCCAAAGCAGATGTGTGGGAGTGCAGAAGAAGATGCACACTGTTAAGTCTGTCAAAAAATCTGAATACAAATCGGTGGTGTTTAGAGTTGTGATGACCCATCCTCACGTCAGATTGTCAGCTGGGAAGAAATCTTTTTTTCTCTTCATCCTAGCATTTTCTGCATTGCAGCCTGCCTAACAGTGAATTGTGAAGAGTGGGGAGACATGCTGTGGGTCGGGTTTGATGTTGATACCAGTGATTGAGAGACTTCTCAGTACTCATTACTAAGAACTCATCAGTAAGCCCATTTTCAATATTACCCATTCTCTGAACTTTGTTGTCCTTTAATATTTTTGCTGCTTTTCTGTATCCCTCAATCCTCCCAAGTGTCTTTTGAGAGTTTCGTCTTGTACAAACTTCTTTTGATGAGGGAAAAAAAGTGTTCTTCACTCTTCAAGGTGACCTTTCTTTAGAAGGGCTTTTTACTTTGGGTTTTTCTCCAAACCCAGCAGCTGCTGGTTTTGGGGGGAAAAGAGGAACAGTGTGTTTGTTATATTGTCCTACACCAGGTCTTCTTTGATATGTGGGATGTATTATCAGTGTTCTGATTTCTTAGGGTAGCAAGTGCTATCTGTGCACACAACCTACTACCTTTGCCAAAAGATTTGTCTGCTCCTCTACAAAAGTAAAATAGAAACTCCAGCAGTTCTGCCAATAATAGTGCCTCAGTGACTGGCTGTTCTCTGACTTAAGAAAAAGTAGGAAGGGCTTTTAGTTTACAGAACAGAAGGGAAAAGTGCAGGTTAGATGAGAAATTAACATCTGCTGTTTAAGTAGGAATAAATTCTTCCCTTTCTCTGATGCTTCCAGATGCCCCTGCCTTTATGTTAGTGGTAGGGATCAGTAAAAGAGAACCCAGTTGAACATGATGCAGTTTTTTAGAAGAGAAAAAAAGACATTTAAACACTGCTTATACTCTCTTACTGAGAAAGACCTTATTGTTTACTAGTGAAAAATACCTTAGCATTCCTTCAGTATCATGTCTCTTCATATCAGCTTGTCTTGAATTGAAAGGGAGAAACAAAGACTTTCTTTCGCAGCTTCATCTGAAACTTCCAAAGCAATTGTATGATTAAGTTGCAGTCAGTTTAAGAGGGCTTTAATGTGTTTTTAAATGAAAATTAATTTTTTTTAAGCTGAAGTATTTGTCTCAAAACACACTATATTTACTGAGAATTTTTTAATTTATTCTTAATTGATCAGAAGCTAAAAGCTGTTTTAAGTCTCCAAGAAGAACTGAAAAAGGTCAAATTATACCAGTGATTTTGATTTTTTCCAGTTTACCCCTGTAAATTTCCCAGCTGAAAGTGATTCTTTTACAAGAGGTTTAAGTCTCTGACAAGCTTATTCAAATTTATTCTTGCCTTCTTTGCTTTCTTTCATAGACTTCGGAAATAGTACACAAACTTCACCAGTACCTGCAAGCTACAGGGTGAAAAGCACTGGGCAATATGGATCACTGCTGTAAGCCCCAAAGCTTGCATGGAAGTTTCACACTCTGCAGTTGGAGTAGCATATTCTGTTGGGAAATCTTGTTAAAGCTAGGATGTCATACCAATGTCTGGATGCAAATAAGTAATATTATACCTTTCAGCTGGGTAGTTACTATTACACTGGGCAGATAGTTGCTGTCTGTGGCTATTTTGGACTCTTACTTTAGAAAGCGTACAAATCACATTTATTCTTTGAAAGTCAAAGCCCTTCTTTAAGAAACATGCTGCAAAGTGTATAGGCCATTAGATATTACGCTGTAAACTCTAAAATGTTTCTAATAAAGTGAATTCTAGAAGTATCGGTGAGAGTAAGTGCAGGAGATGGAATTGCTTCTTTAGCTGTGTATGTATTCCAATTGGGTAAGGTGTAATTTTGCCTTTTACTGTATCCAGGTGTCAAGGCTTTTGATCAGTTGTCCTCTACTATGAACTTCTTTTTAAACTGAAATTAAAGCTAATAAAGGGCTTTTAGTTTCAAAACAGAATTAATCTTGTACAGTTCTTTTATCCACAATTTGCATCTTCAGGATAATTCACTGTAGGTATAGAATTTGGAATTCTTAAGCAAAAAAAATTGCACTTACAGGTTGAAAATTACCCACAAAAAGTGCCTCCCTTTAAATGTTTTTGTTGAAAAGGGTGATGATTCTAAAAGAGCTTATATTTGTAAACGCTCTTAAGAGCTTACAATTAAATGATTTATAGAAATGCAGTGTTGTAACTTGTGAAGCTCCCTTATGCTCTTTACTCCCTTCTTGTTTTTTCTTTTTTCCAGGTATGCATTCCTCAACAGCCACAGAACTATTTGTTACTGGAGCTTTGCCAACCTCGGGAACATTTCCACCAACATCTGCTTTATCAGCGTATCAGCATCCCAACACTTTCAGCAGTAGAAACTTCGCTACTACCCCTTCTCTTACTCTTCAAGATACTACTTTCAGTGCAACATCAAACGGTCTTTTAACTACCCATGATCCTTTATTACAGATTAAAACCTCGCAGGGCACTGTCCCAACTGCTTTGACACTTGAGCGCCTGGGCAGTTCTGTTCTAAGTACCAGTATACCACCTCAGTCATCAACATATCGTTCTGCCCAAGAATCTGCACCCCATCTCCTGCAACCTCAATTTAGTTTGTTGCCTTCAACCCTTGGAGGAGCTCAGCAGGTTTCTCAGGCTTATAGCACATCTGTCTTTACTGGTTCCACTGCTTCTATCGACAGAGCACTTCAGCGAGAATGTAGTGTTATTAAACACCACCAGCGGCCTTCCAGTACTCAGTCTGTTCAGGCTCAACTGACTGTTTCACAGCATTCCTTACACAGCTATTTAACGAGTACCAGTGGAGTTAATTTTCAGGATACATCTAGGCACTCGGCATTATCCTGCAGCCCAGTCGGAGATGTTACTCAGGTGAGCAATGGAGGACCACAGCAGAAGACTTCTCAAGTCACAGTGGAACTTGCTCAGTCATACTCGTCTGCAATTTCATCACCTGGTTTTCCATCTGCTTCCACAACAAAAGTGAAAAACTGTTCCATGAAGCAGCCTCCAAGGTCAACAAAGACCCCCAAACCTCAAAGTGTAGCTCCCACTTTGCAGACACAAAGCTATGCCAAAACTGCGCAAAACCAGAGTTCTGTCATTACCGGCCAAGCACAGATCTATTCTACAGCACAGCTCCCAAGCCTACTGTCAGTCAGCCAGTCCCAAAACTATGTTTCATCCCAGGCTCAGAATGCTCCACCTGTCAGTCACTCACAAGATTTCTCATCCACCAAGGTTGAGAAGCTGCCCTCACTGTATAAAACATTGACTTTTTCTGGGCAATCGCAAACTATTACTTCTGATAGTCAAAGTCTAAGTTACTCCTCAGAGGAACAGGTATTGACTTCAGTTCCAAATGAGAACTACTCTGGGCAAACAAGGGAACTTTCTTCGGTCAGCCAGTCTCAGAGCTATTCTTCTAGTCACTCTCAGGGTTTATCTCCGGTTAGCCAATCCCAAGTTAGTTTTTCATCTCAATCACAAGTTTTATCAGCTGTCAGTCCTTCAGAAAGCTATTCTTCAGGGCAGTCTTTAACATCGCCTTCTCTTTCCTTTAATGCCTCTCCTCGGATACAAACTCTTCCAGCCTCGAGCCCTAATCAGAGCTATATTTCTTTACATTCTTCTCAGAACTCTCAGTCACAAGAATCCTCCTCTCCTCAGTCTCAGAAGTTTTTGCCATCTGTCCAGTCTCCTCCTTTTGCATCCCCAGCTCATTCACAGACATTGCAGAACAACAGACCTTCCTCAGAAACAAAGTCATATGTTAAAAGGAATTCTGACTCAAATTTGTATGCCTCGTCAAAACAAGAGGAGGAATTGTCAATGCAGAATATGCAGGTGTTGCAGCAGCAAGCTACTCTTGAATCTTCCACTCAAAGGCTAACTGATGAGGAAATCAACACTCAGGATGCATCCTATAGGGTCTCAAAAGCAGATGATAGATACTCTCAAAGTGTCATCAGAAGTAACTCTCGTCTTGAAGATCAAGTTGTTGGACTTACTCTTCAAGTAGCAAAAAAAGATGAAAGAATGGTCAGTTCTGTGGAACAGCTTTCCCAACATATTGGCCATATCACGAGCCTAAGCCATGATATAAAAAAGACAGCTAATTTAATGCAAACAACACAAGTGAGTGCTAAAGAGCTAAACCAGCAACATTCTCTTATGCATAAGGTACACGAAAGTAAAGCTCAAGAGCAGCAAGGCCAAGTCATTAGTACACCATCACAGGTTCAGCCTCATGCTTTAAGACATGGTCACCAGCTGTGTTTGCCCAGTGCGCAGGTGCTTCTGGAGTCAGCCTGTGACTTGCAGATTCTTCATCAGTCAATGCTGCAGCCAGGTTTGGGACAAGCAAAGGCATCACCACAAGTGCAAAGAATACAAAGTCCTCAGCAGGTGACACACCCATTCCTTCACATGGACGGTCATATTATTCAAAGTAATGGGGGTCATGCACAGCAACATCTTCATTCTCAGAACTCAGAAGTAATGAAAATGGACATTTCTGAGCCCTCAAAACCACTACAGCAACATTTGACAACAAAAGAGCATTATACTCAGACAAATCAACATGATTCAAAGAATCAGTTTGTTTCTCTTAGTTCAATATGTTTTCCTGAGTCTATACTTCTCAGTGATGAGAGGAATATATTATCCAATGTAGATGATATCTTAGCAGCAACAGCAGCAGCTTGTGGAGTGACATCACCTGACTTTGCCAAGTCTGCTTCTAATGAAGAGGAAATCCAGTCTGTTGAAAACAGTGAGGAGCCTAAAACACAGTTCCGATCAATGGATGTGAGACATGTGTCTTCTGGTTTCAGTGCCTCACCTAGTGTAGTTGGAAAGCCAGCAAACATAAGTAATATTTCTCTGAATGGAGGCCAAATTACTATAAATCTTACACCAGTGTCAACAATACAGATGAAAACTGTGAACCTTGATCAACAACACATCGAAACTGCTGATCAAAATGTACCAACAAGAATGACCTCTCCCGCCCTTGGCCCTGGTCAAGAAGAGCAAGAACAAGGGGCTGTTCCAGTTAAGAAACAGTCTAGCATCAGTCGTGAATCTGAAGAAGATAACGATGCTGCTGCTGATGGTACGCTGAATGCAAGAGACACAGAATTCGTTTCAAGCGGTAGGAGTCTAAGTGAAGAAAGTGCTGCTTCAGAGAATGATTTTTATATAGGTGGGGATGATGGTACAGTAGCAGGTAACCAGTCAAAGGGTCCGTTACAGCCACTATCTGTGCCTCAAAGTGCAGATGGAACCGTTAGCAGAACTGAAGAAGAATGCCAAGATTTAACTCAAGGGAGCCTTCAGAAGAAAAAAAGCAAAGGAAAAAGCCAAAACAAAACTGCTGCAGAAGATGACAGTGCAATTCAGAAGCAGGTAAAAAGAAGTGGACAGTGTAAACGTCAAAATTCAAGAGGAAATGACTCATGTCTGGCGTACTCCTCTCCTGTTTCTGAAAGTTGTTATGATACTTACCAGCATCAGGAAAGAATGAGACAGAAGATTAAAGAAGTTGAAGAAAAACAGCCTGAAGTCAAAACAGGATTTATTGCATCTTTTTTAGACTTTCTGAAGTCTGGGCCTAGGCAACAGTTTTCAGCTCCAGCTGTACGAATGCCAAACAGGACTAGGCGACCGGTTACCCAGATAGTTCGTGCCCCTTGCCTACAGTCTTCTGCAAAGCCTCAACCACCAGCAGCAGCACCCATAGCTGCTGAGGTTAGTGAAGAAAGTCCAACCAAAAAAGTCAATGAAGAACTTAAGAAAAATTTAGAAACACTGCCTTCATTTTCTTCTGATGAAGATGATTCTGTGGGGGGTAATCATGATCTTCAGAAGAGCATCTCTACTGCATTGTCAGCCCTGGATGATACATCTGATAGAAAGAACAGATCAGGTAAAACAGCTACTACAAATGTATATGTTGAAGGTGATTTCTGTAGCTGATGGGGGGGGGGAGAAACTAGCTATCTTCAGGTCAGGTAAAGGTTTTGATTGGTTTTGGTTTTAATCGCGACCATAAGAGATCTGTTCCAAAGGTGTGTGGACTATGGACAAAACCAGTGTTTTTACAGTTAGAAAAGAGGTAAACCGCTTCATGCTACTTAAGTAGGACTCTTCTAATGCTGAAAAGTTACTTTAGCCCAGAAGTGGAATGTGTCTGTTGTCTTCTCTGGCTTTGAATGCTAAATATGATTTTAATCTGGAAACCTCGTTAAACCATCATGTCACAGGGTTTCAATCTAGCAAGAGAACATATTGGTAACTGCCACCAGCAGAGGTGAAGTTCTTCCTAAGTAGACTTAAACATAGATTTTCTGTGATGATAGAGTTCTGCAGAGTACAAAACAAATTTTTGCACTAGCAAACTGAGCACTGGTTTGGCTGCTCTTGCTGTAGACAGGAGTCGTGATTTCAGCCGTATTGGTCAGGAGTGTTGTAGCTCCATGTTGATACATTGCTAGTGAAAGACCAAAATCTGGGAAGGATTGTTTTGGGGAGGGAGAGGCAGACAGCAACTACTGATCACAGTAGTGGTGAGTTTTCCACACACTAGCTTTTAACTGATGCTGCTTTTTTCTGAAGTATTTTCAAAGTACAGCTTTTTTTTTCTGCCTTGATAGACCCTTTCAGTGAAGTTTGTTTTCTCTGATAAGCAATTAAAAATTATCCAGCTGATCACATAACTGTACTAATTCAAGAGAAATACCTTCCAAAATAATCACAGAGAGAAAATGAAACATTTCTTACACTATTCTCAGGACCCACGACCCATTCTTAACAAAACAGAATGAAGTAATTTTTTCTCTTTTTAGATTAAAGATTTATTTTTTGTCTAGGAGTGACATGATATACTTAAAAATACACAGCATAATTGAATTAATTTGTAGTAATCAAACCTAAAATACCAGAAAAAGATTGTGGAATAAATGACATTGTCCTGGTTCGGCTGGGATCGGGCTGGTTTTCCTCTGCAGTCGGGAGGGAGGTCCAACCGGCCAAGAGCCGGCCCAGCTGGGGTTATTCGCTGCCGTGCTGACCCCGTG